CGTTCTTCTACGCTCACACCCCCCGCATCTTGACATTTGTTCTACAATTAGACGGGGTTTTGCTCTTAAAAATCCTTGTTGCTGGTTTACTATTTTCTTTCAAGAAAAAAAATACGCAGAAATACTTTGCTCCTCTAAATAATATGTCGGCTATCGGCTGGTAAAAAAAGCCGTAGCTTCTTCAAGTTAAATACTGTGCCAAAGCATTTATATTAAGGCGCTGAGATAATAAGCAAATATACAGCTCATAGTCGCAAAAAAACTTAATAAAGGTCATAGCAAAAAAGCAAGACCCGTATTTTGTAATTAAGGGGCTACTTGCGCTATATACGCGAGATATTAAAATTCCGACAGACACTGGATTTGGCCTAAAAATCATTAAAATCCTTGAAAAGCCCTTTTAGCTCAGTGGTAGAGCGTCAGTCTTGTACGTCAGTAAAACTGAAGGTCGTCGGTTCGATCCCGTCAGGGGGCAGTGTTATTTTTATTTTCACCACTTTTTAAAAAGTGGTGTTTAGACTTTCATTTTTAAGAAAATGACTTTTTTGCCATTCTTTCCCTATGAGGGTATATCCATGATAATGCTTGAGAAACTATTGTGTATCATCTAAGCCCATCCAATATTCCGTGAAAAGCTGCAAGTGTCAGTCCGTCCATCCATCCATGGATATTGATTAACAATGGTGTAATTAACCAAAGACCATTATGCGTCAGGCAGAGAGCGGGTTTTACGTCAAGAGTAGACAGGCGGTAGAAAAAGACAGAAAAAAAGCAGAGGGGTACTGCGCATATTAGTTATTTTGTTTGTTTTTTGCATATTTTTGTTAAATTATCGTCTTTGTTTTACACTTATTGGGCAATACTTACCATCGAACGAGACGTCTTGCATTGGCAGAAAACGTTGGATAGAATAGCCACCTCCCACACAAAGGTGCCCTTTGGCACTAAGAGAAGAGAGCGCTCGCCATACTCGCTTCTGCAAAAAGCTCAGAACTCTGTTTGGTCTCCTGCAGAGCCCAAACGTTGTTTTCGCGTTGGCAGACCTCTTCTCTTGTTAAAAAAAAAGAAAAAGTTTAATGATCAATCAGAATCCGAAAAAAGCAGGGGAGATCTCGCATAGCGAAAGCCATTCTTAGAATAGGGCACTTGAGACACCAGCGATCAGAAGGGCCGAGAGGGACATTGTCGAGATGAGCGAGGCGGCGCCGCTGGTGCTGCTATCTTCATCGTCTACACTATCGTCGCTCTCGTTGTCCTCAGAGGCGTCGTCGCTGTCGGACTCGGAGTTGCCATTATCGCTTTCGTCGTTGTCGTTCTCGGCAGCGCCACTT